GTAGTAGTAGTAGTAGTAGTAGTAGTAGTAGTAGTAGTAGTAGTAGTAGTAGTAGTAGTAGTAGTAGTAGTAGTAGTAGTAGTAGTAGTAGTAGTTGTTGTTATTATTATTGTTGTTGTTGTTATTATTATTGTTAAATAATATAGTTGGATCTAGCATATGCTTGTCTGTACAACTTACTCCATATTCTGCATATGATTAATGTCCATATGCTAGGCGCCCTAATGGTTGCTCTTGGCCTTCTATTCACATGGAGTAATTAGTAGAGGCAGAGACCAGGAGCCACTTTCACTGAACAGGAGCCACGAACCTGCCCGAGTTCAATCCTGAAGCGAGAGGAACGGGTACCGGTATAGTTACCTACTACACATGTGTAACTTAACTAGTAGTACGTAGTAAGCATGGATGCTCAACCTACAGGGATTGTCCTTGGTAGGAATCTATCTAGAATAGGTAGGTACCATCTAGTACCTAGTACTCACCTAAGTACCTTACCTACCGAAGATTCAAGGTTACAGAGCAAGCATCTGGGTGGGTGGATGGAGGTGGATCCATTGAAATCTGTCAAATCCCCGTCGACCAACGCGGTCTGGCTCTCCCCAGGGAGGTGGGGGGAAATCCTTCCACGATTGATGATTGGGCTCAACTCGGGGCGGGTTCCTGGCACTAAACCAATATTAGATTAGCCACCCCACCGACCGCCCGGTTCTGCCTGCAGTTGCGCAACCGCAGTTGTTCAGTTTGTTGTTATTGTTGGCTGAATGCTGCCCCCTCTCCCCTCCCCGCCCCCTTCTCTTCTCGGCACCACCGCCGCACTCAGGAGAGAACCGGTCTATCCACGGAGTACGTACATACATAGTACGTACTGTACAGTACAGACATGCTTTCCTGTATCTAAATAGCCTTGCTTTTAATTTTATCCTCCGAGACTAGATGCGAGGGAAAGTGATATGAAACCATGCCTGAATGAACATGCAATCAAGATAAAACATTATCAAATAAAGGCAAAGGGCTCGCGCAACGCTACTGATACTGATGGATCTCGCATTATGTTTGAGCAAGAATATCAAGATGAAGCAGAAAATGTTGCCTTAAGGGGGGTGGGGAGGGGTAATAGAAGGAAATTTGCCCCATGGCATGGATATGGGTGAGCAACTGCTCAAAGTTCTAGCCCCGAGTTCTACTCCGTACTTATCTACCAACTTACCAAGGGCCAAGGCAACCTACTTTTCGACACTAAGGCGACCTAAGTGGTACCGGGCAACGATGCCTTGAAATTTAGATAAAAGAGGTTGAATTAGCCCACAACTTGCGCAGCAGTGACAATGCCTCTAAGCTTAGTGATGGCCATTCAGCAGAAGCCTAGATATGACTCGATAAGGAACCCTCCCTCCTCCCCATTATTGTACTGATGAAGAAACAAACACGGTGAAGCGATCCTGTCCCATGCCCGACTGGATTTGAGCTCGGCATGGTACGATACATGGCTGCGGTGATCTCCCCACAGCCCCCCCACATTTGGTTATTACCTGACAAATGGACTTGGAAAATAATGAAACGGGTCATCTAGACCGCTAGTAACGCACCTAGTAGAGTCTCTAGTCGTAGTCTAGTCTAATAGGTACCTGGGCTAAAAAGTCTCCATACATGATACGACAATCGGTTTGCTCACGCCTTTCCACTGGGTTACTCGGGCCTCTGCCCTTTTCTTTTCTCCCTCCCCTGCCGTTGTCACTTCTCGGCTTCTTCTCCTCTCCTTTTCCTCTTCTTCTTCTTTTCCTTCTTCCTCGTCTTTCCACTTCCGTTCTTTTCTTTCTTGGCTGGGTGCTTCATGTCATTCCTTTTCTACATTTAGCTCCCTCCCTCCCCCTCTCCCTCCTCACCTCCCCTTTCCTCTCTCCCCAAGTACCGTCCCGGGGACTGTACTGTCGTTCTTTTGCTGGTGCTTGGGCACCTGGCTGTCGTTCATTACAGGGAGCTCATCTTAGTTCCTGTCCACTCCTTGTTCAAGACCTGTCCTACGCCATTGTCCTCATTGATTCTGAACCGAATACGATCCTCTTTGCTCTCCGGCTTCCAAGTCCATCGATCTTTATCCAGGGTGCTACGTGACCGGCGGTTGTATATTGTCCGAAGCCCATGTACTATCAGATCATTTAGCTAGGGACATCTCTCGCTCTTGTCTCACTGCAACGTTAGCACGCCGCATTCTAGACAACGATCTCTTGACCTTTGGGGTGTCAATTCTCAGGATCGCTGCCCGCTAGTGTCGGGTTGACCCATGTATCACCATACTCATCAACATCAGCACAGGGCCTTCCGGGGCACGCATCATGGGAGAGATGTGTTGTCACGACGGCCGGATATTGTGCCTCGCGATCGTCTTCGCTTCCTTGCTGCGTCTCCCGCGCCAACTCTGCTGAGAAGAGACCCTGCACCGTCTGTCGCTACTGCCACGGCGACCTCAACTTGCGGTGGTAACAGCTGTGAGAAAAGCACGAGCACAATGATGACCACAACCTTGCCGGTTGTCCTCGGTGTAGTGTATGTCTTGAGATTGATTCTTCTTCCTGAACCCGATGCGATTACTCAAAGCAATAATTCCAATCGGTGTGTCGTACGCTTGGTGCATTTATGGCTAATGATTGTTCAGGATCCCCGTCGTGTGTGCCATTGCAGTCCTGCTTTACTTCCACCGCAAGAATGTGAAAAAGCTCCGAAACGAGGATGCCAATGACAAGCATAAATCCCTCGATTTCGGCTTAGATCTAACACCCACTGGGACGAAACCCATGCAACAAGCCGAGAAGACTAATGGTGCTCATGCCAAGGGAGTGTCTCTAGACATAGGGCCAAGTCCATACCTCCTCCCGCCTGGACTACACAACTCACGAGAATCATTGCAATCCTTATCGAGATCTATGATCGGCGATGACGACAAGTATCGACACGCAACTTCATTTCTAGGGGACAATGCATCCTTGAGATCTCATTCCCAGGGTCCTCAGGACGATGCGTCCAGTTTTGCGGGATCAACTCGCCGGGGACCCCTGGGCGACGATATGAACCAAGGACTGCTTCGCAATGCTCAACGAATGTCTCGCTCTTCCCCGCCACTCTACGATCATCCTGAAAGCGACCGCGACGCCGAACATCCGTCGAGTCCGATTCAGAAACCACACGCCGAATTCCATGTAGATCTCTCAAGGAGTCCGAATCCTGCTCATGTGCCAGGTGTCGCTGTTGATGAACCGGTCTCCAGTAGTGGTCATGTCAAACCCAGTGCACCGGGTCGCAGCCCGGAGAATGTCCCTCCTTCGCTAACCTTGTCCCCCGCGCCTTCGGAGCAGACACAAAACCCGGAATTGTTTCTGCCTAGCAGTAGTGTTGCCCAGCAAGATGGGTCGAACTCTGCTCAGGATGCGCCTGCCCCGCTGCACGCTCCGATTCCAACTATAACAACTCCGCACGTCGCGCAGGCACCGACTCCAACGCCTAGAATATCACTCCCAGTGAGCGATGCGGCTAGTGACTACGGAGACGCAGAGTCCAGTCATGCGATCCCGTCAGTCAATGTGCATAGCGTGACAGAATATGGTGGTCACGGCACCCCCGAGGATATGCCTTATCCTTCCCAGGGTCATGAAGCGTTGGATCGAGTTCAGAATGCTAGTCTTGACCACCGCCGTGACACGCGACGGCTGACTTTCGGTCTTCGACCTTTGCCGCCCGAGGATCCTTCTGATAACCCTGAACAGCGTGCCAATCGTATTCGGTCATTCTACAAGGAGTACTTTGATGAAAGTCGTACTGGACGCGACACTTACTACGGAGGAGCCGGCTCTGAAGCCTTTGCTGAAGGCGGCTATGTCTATGATCCTTCCACCGGAGAGCATTTCAGTCCTGTCCCTGCACCATTCGCGGAGCCAATCACCCGCCGTGCCATGACACCGCCACCCCGTGCGCCTCCGCGCTTTCAAGGTGCCGCTCGTCACATGGCCACTGGCTCAGACGGTGGCTTCGGTGATAGATTTGATTCTCCTGGCCTCCGTGCATTTTCATCCGCTTCTGGTCGCTTACCAGGTCCTCCCAAACCCCGAAAGCCGGCGCCGCCACCATCGCCCCTTCAGATCCTCCCCACGCCCCATATGCTGAAAGATGAATCTATAATGACGGCGATTGACTATGCCCCCAGCAAGAACTACAAGGATCTGAGGGAAGGCCGCCCAGAAACGCCTTTGGGTGGCCTTCAGCCCTTCAGTCCGCTGACCCCAGCGCGTTCCCCTCTTGTCTCGGCCTTTGACGATCTATCGCCCTTACCTAGCGCGTAAGTGTCTATGCCGTTCCTGTCGTGCTTCGATGCGTGAGTTTTGTTGGTACTAATTATGGTCCAGACACGCTTTGCGAAAGTCTGGTGCTTACGACGCTCTGGACTTTGCACCTCCGCCGCGATTCAAGAACACCGATGCCGGCAGCGATGCCGGCAGCATCCGCAGCAACCATACCGGAATCTCGTCAACCCATCTCCACAATATCCGCAGTGGCGCATATCGCGTCAGCCGCCTACCCCCAGGCACCGTGGGCACTAAGGATGACTTGATATCGAACCTTCGCCCTAAATGGGATATGCAGCAATAGTTGGAGTGCCAACTCTTCTGCGACACATCAAGCTTCCCCTCGCTGTAATGATCTCCAGTATTTTGCACTCATCTGGGTATCCCGCCTACCTTGTCACGACTTATTTCCATTTCCTTGAAAACTACGGTATCTCTTCGTGAGGGATGCCAGTCAATTTGCGATCTTTAACGTCAGTGGCGTAAAGAATATATGAAGGATGCCCTTTTCATTTCAGATTTCGCTTCTCTTGGGCGTTCGGTCTCACTAACCTTGTTTTATCATCTACTACTTGCACATATGCTGTATTTTAGACGCGGGTTGCTAACCTGCAGGTATGAGTATCTTAACTGGAATGTATTGTACTCATGACATTAAATGTTTGAGATAATTGTTCCCCTGAAACATATCCGTCGTTGTTGTAGTGTGAAATTTGGCTGTAGACTATAAAGTCAAGCCCGCTGATGAAGTAACTTTGTATCCTAGTGGTTAGGGTGACTAAACCGCAACATATTTTGATGAGACTGTCAATCCTAGTCCATACAATTCATGGTTACTCTGAAGTCCATATGTACAACTGCAGATCTGCCCCCAGATTGATGATGTATAGTGAAAGGTGGCGTAGTGAAGCAGGTTCGGCGGGCAATTTCTGCGTACGGTTGCTTTCCTCGCCGATCGATAGGGGAGATTTCTGTCAAAGTCAAGCCCCATCCCTATCGCAAGTTCTGACCTTATTGATCCATGAATACTTTGCATATGAAAGGCATTGTGACGGCCAGTCATCGTTTCAAATCTGAGTCTGACTGGTGTACTATGCGAGGCGAACCGTTGTTCGCCGAGAAAGGTTCGAGGGTTGCTTACTGCAAACGAAAATACTTTGTCTATTATTCTTGAACACAGTTTGTTGGGCCAGCAGATGTGCCAACCACGGTAACATATACTCGAGGTTTGGATCGATGTTAGGGCATGGTATAATTCCAGAGAGAAAGGTTGGGTGAGCTTACCTAGGCACAGTACTAGGTAGTCTACAGCAACACAGACAACAAAGTTCACCGTCACAGTCTTAAGCTAGACTTAAATTATACTGATCTTGTTGATGGGTCCAGAAGCATCTACCAACCTCTCGGTGTGAATGACAGAATGTACTGTACTGACACCAGAGTCTGGTTGCAAGGTGGATCGGATCTGGTCGGGGTTGACTGGTTGACATCAATGTTGCTAAATTTATCAACTCCCCTGTCGTACGTATGTACACATACATACTGTAGTTACTGAGAGGTAGTTATATCTTGGTGTGCGTACGGGTTTACTTGTATGTACATACATGATGACCAAAAATACTTCTTGTTCTCTGTTCTCCGAACTACTACAACAGAGTATGTAACTACTTTCGCCCCCCTATGCTTTGTGAAGTTCGAATCTCGACTTACTGCGGGGGCAGTGGTTCGACCATCACAGGTAAGTACCTGTCTTCTGGAATCTTACCAATGTAAGAGAAGAGTGTCAGGTCCGGTACCGGGCATAACGTTGAAGGTGCAACATGTACTGTACATATCTACATAGTAGGTACCAGTAGTTTGTTCTGGCCACCGTAGTTACCTCAACGGTGGTCTAGATGGTCTTCAATTCATGACACAGACAAAGAATGTAGCTGAAAGTACCAAACGGTACGGAACCGGTACCTGGCAGGATGGTCACAGGTGCTGCGCCTGCGGTACTGATTCCACCTTACCGAAAATAGTTATGATTGTTATTCAGTGGTACCGAATTCAGATCTCTTCACCCGTTCCTGGCTCACTACCCAAGTACTGGGTAGCATTTGGACCTTTTCCATGGTGCTGTGCTTTTTCCCGAATTCTCTTTCTCTCCTGAATGCCAATGAAGCTGCTGGTTGCAGGACTCCAGTCTCCCCGCTTCCTTCTACTCTCCCCTCTCGCGCTCTCTTGCTCGCTCGTTTGTTCGCCTGCTCTCTCTGTCACTCCTTTCTTCTCCTTCTTTTGATTTTGCCTCGTCGTACTGTATCTTCCTTCTCGCGTCACTCGTTCATCTTTCTCCAATTGTCTCAAGTTGGTGGCTATGCACCTAGCATTCTTGGTCTAATATGAGACTTTTCTCAGCTGTCTCATGGCACCCAGTTTAATATCGGTAACTCGCCATTTTGATTGGTTCTGTTCACTCTTATCCGTTGCCCCCGGGGTAATTCGACCCTTTCTCTTGACACTCTCACTTCTCTCGTCTTTCCCGGCCGTCCTTGGTTAGCACTGCGGTGGATCTTTTACCTTACGTAGTCTACTTACTTGACTCGGGCTCTTCCCCTGACCATTGACTAGGTCGTCTTTCGTCAACTTTTCCTACTCACGCGCTGGTCTCACTGTGTCTGCCGACGACTTTTCTAAATTTCCATTGGGCGCACGTCCGCTGCAATCCGACTTCTGCTATCCACTCTTCTGCTCTCGATTGCCCACCATCACCTTTTTTCTTCGATTTGTTTTGAGACGATTCCCTCGCCAACCTTGGCTGCAAGTGTCCTTCAGCCTCAATTCTCTTTCGAACGGCTACACTCAATAAATCTCCGATCGCATAACCACCCCCCCCCTCCCCCTCGCCCCTGTGAAGGCGGCTGCTCTGTCGTCATCGCCTGGCTTCCTTGGTGACCGACGCTTTGCTGCTCTTCTCATATTCTGGCCTACTGCTCCGCCCAGTAACTCCACGTTCATCCCGCGTCGGAGGCCCTTTCTGTTCAGGCTGACTGGACGATGTCGTCCTCCGGTATGAAGCCACCCATCATGCTCCTCGCCTATCGCGTTTGGCACTGTTCCTCTTTCCTTCCGCTCCTTCACGAAGTTACTGACTCCCGGCAATAGCTGCTGCGGTCGCACCTGCGCCGGTAGCAACTTCCGCCAATACTGCCGGTGCCGCTACATCGGCCGATACTCAAGCGGAAACGCCCACACAGACCTCAGTCCTAACATCTTCAACGTCGGAAGCACCCACAACTCAAGTGCCAACCACTACCGAGTCTTCGACATCATCTTCAACCTCTTCAACGTCATCGTCATCGTCATCGTCGACCACAACAGCCCCGGTAGAACCTACAACGACGAGCACTTCATCACACACAACATCAACATCGACAACGACAACGTCGTCGTCATCGTCAACGACAACAGATCCTGTTCCTACCAGCAGTTCCGCGTCAGAAACCAGCCGCACGGTCGATGTCGTCACAACTGTTGTAACACAAACACCTACCAATGGCTCTACGGGAGTAGAAACCCTCACTATAACCTCGACAGACACGTCGATCCCAACAGCCACTGCGGGGACGGCGGCGGACGGGGCTTCTATCACTGGAAGCGGCTCGTCAGCTACTGGGACTTCAAAGAGTACCAACAGCGGCAGCTCTTCCGGACTTTCAGCAGCTGGCACGATAGCAGTCGCAGTAATTGTGCCTGTCGCATCTGTGGCTCTTATCGTCTTGGCTGCCCTCTATTTCTGGAGGAAATGGAAAGCGAAAAAGGCGGCGGAGGAGGAAAGACGAAAAGAGGTAGAGGAATATGGCTTTAACCCGAATAATGATCCATCTCTTCCACCTATCATGGGCGGAAGTGCGTTTGCGCCCAAGGATGATACTTCTGGGTATCGCGGCTGGGGTACCACATCGGCAGGCCGGAAAGCATCGACCAACCTCTCGAGCAGCGCTGGGGTCGGGCTAGCCATGTCTGAGGCTGGAAGCGCGCCTGGATATCACCATGCCACTACTCCAAGTGACGGAACTATTCAGTACTCCGAGGGCCAGGGTACTTTAGGGGAGACTGAACCGATCGGTGTCCTTGGTGCTGCTCCAGCAGCCGCGACAAACACCCGGAATGTCGATATCCATCGTGGTCCATCAAACGCCTCATCTGCATACTCTGCAGCCAACCGATCGGAGGCCTCGGACGAAAGCCATATGTCTGCTACACATCCTGCCGGTGGCTTCTACGATGATAATCCATATTATAGCGATATTCAACCGCAGTATGGGGCTTATGGTGACGGTCCGTATGGCGGTGCCCCTCCCGTCATTCGAGATGTTCAAGCACGGCGTAACACCCGCATTGAAAACCCTGCTGTGTTTCCCCGGCAAGGAAATGCCGGTATTGCCCAAAATTTCTAGGTTCACACATTGTATCTTTTGTTTTTCACCTGGCTGCACACGTTTCCGGCCTGTATAAGGCACTTTTCAAACGAATACGATCCCTATGAGTGGGCTAAGTTTCATGCCAAGAAAGTGGGAGAATCAAGCATCAAGCATCGCCTTGTCTCTTGGCCAAAATGAACATTCATTTCTCGGAGATGCCATTTCTGACAACCTACAAGGGACGACGTCAATCTTTGAAATCACAAATCCCTGTCATTCTGCATAGGTCGTCAACGTGTCACCATCAGGTTGGCTTGTCTCGCCTTCTTCTATCTTTCAATTATATTTTTACACTCTTTATGTTGGAATTATATTGACCATGTTTTTGCTTACTATTACTGTTCTCTGTGGTGCTCACTTGATTCCCCTTGTCGATTTGATATCTGAAAATCCTTCTCAGTTGACACTTGCAACATGTACATTCATGACAATTTTACAGCCACTCCCTTTCACACTGGGCTTCCGAAGGGCTGCTGTGTTTCTTTTTTTTCTCTTATCTCCCGCTCAACATATTCTTCTTGTTTCTATGGTTGTTCCTCTTGCTTTTCCTAGGTAAATTTTGCTTAATATGGTCTGGAATTCGATTGGCTTAATCAAAGCTTGCAACCTGTGCGCGTCAACTGCACATTCACTATGTGACAAGCCTGTAGCTTTCAACACCGTGTAAGAAGGTGTAGTGTTTATTCGGGGGAAGGCTTCCATTGCCATGAATAAATAAGTTCCTCATACTGCCAATCATCCTCGGCATCCGTACCGTCGAACGCGGCCTGAAGATGTAGCGTCATATGTCTGGAACATGTTGTTTTCACCTTAACCTCGATAATTGATGCATCCTGGTAGGCACCAGGATATTGATTATCCCTGAAATATAGGTTTTGAGGATCCCCATTGAATGGTCGACCAAGGAAAGAGCAACAAGCCGCAATTCAGCATGCAACCGTAATTGCGACCAGAACCGGGCATTTTTCTCGGAGAGCTGGAGAAAGTGTGCTTGATACAGTTACTTGCGAGACTCTGAGTTAGTGCTCCATCAGGCCGAAGGCGACCAGGTTTCTTTTCATCATACGGTACACGCCAAGGATCGGCCGCCGGCGAGAGAAGATAACAGAACGGGGGGGGGAACCGAAAAGGAGAAGGAAAAAGAAAGCTGAGTGAGACAAAAATAGACTAGTATTAGAGCATTAGAGCTTCTGCTTTGCTCTTTCTTCACTGTTCCATCTCATGTTATCATTTGGCTTCTTGATGGGTATGTTTACTATGTACTCCTTACTCGTGGTAGGAAGAGAATGAAGTACTGTACGCACGGAATAATTATATATAACGTTAGCTTGGCAGACGAGGTGGCAGAAAGCAGTTACTGTACAGTGCACGTGTCACCGCCTGGGAACAGGAGGCAAATGGCTAGTACGTGCGGAGTACGTAGTATAGTACTTTACCTAGTAGTTGAATACTTGGTCCTGCGTACCGTACTTGTACTGTACTGGCTCACTCAGAAGGTGCACAGTGTTGTGCTCCGAGGTCGACTTACTGCGTAGTAGGTTCAGTAAGGTAGCTATCTACTCCGTAGCTGTATGATCGTTCAAGGTTGATGGACACTGCATCCGCGACGGGAGTCCGAAAGAACGTGGGCATCTTGGAAGCGGTGATTGGTCCGGGAACAGCTACCCAGAGCTCCCCACATCTCCTCCAGGCTCCCTGATCGATTAATGCAGAGATGGGTCATTGATGGTTGACTTCAACCCTTCACTTTGACCGTTGACTTGACATTGGCTGGTCAACAACGCTCCGCCCGCCCGCCTCCCCGCCTCCCCCCGGCACGAGTCCTTTCTGATCTTCCCATTCGCAAGTGCCGATTGACTTAGTAGTCCCTACTAAGCACTGTGCTAACATCTCAGGGCTCAGACTTACCTGGTAGACTCTATACGGTAGTAGCTACCTACTGTTGCTGATTGAGGGAGCAACAACGATTGACTTTCGTGGGCCCTTCCTTCTTCTACCATCTTCTTTCTCTCATATCTCAGCTCTCGTTACCCATCCCTCTCCCTCTCCCTCTATCTTTACTGCCCCTCCCTCTCTTCTCTTCTTTTTCGCTTTCCCCGTGCCACCTTCCGGGGTCAGGTGTGTGTGCCCCTCGCTTTGGTATCAGTACTTCTGGCCTTCCTCGCCGTCGCGCGGATGGACACGGTTTAATTCTTGAGCTTCAGACGTATGTTTTCTAACCAAGTTGGTAGTAAACGGCCATTAGCACGGAGCACAGCTGCTACTACTACTGCTTCTGCGACGGTCATTCGGTGGTCTGTCATTCTTTGAGACTAGACAATCGTCCGCTTGAAACAAGCGCCGCTAATAAGGTTGACTCTCTCTCTCTCTCTCTCTCTCTCTGTGTGTCTCTGTTCCCCATCATCATTGACCGTCGCTCCTCCCCCTCCCCCTCCCCCCTCCCCCTCTTTTCCCTTTTTTCACTTTCTCTTCCTTCTCCGTCTATCCCGTTACCGTTCCTTCGAGTAGCGGAGGTTCCCTGAACTCGTCTCCATCAGCCACTGCTCTTCGAGCTCGGAGTGACTGACATCTTTGTGCTTGCCTCCTTCTTCACCTATCTCTTGACTTACGAATATTGTTATAGCTTGTGTTGTGCCGCTCAGTTTAGCATCGCGTGGCACTCCAGTGCATCAAAGGCCCTCACAAGCCATCGTTACGTCCTGCCCAGCGCAGCGCAGCGCCTTCCAAGATGTAAGGATCCACCTACGAGTCTGATGCCCTTTCCTTTGCCCCGTGCGCTTCCTTGTGCCGGCCCTGATGATTCGAGAAAAGGAAGTTCGGCAAACAAATTCAGCGCAGACAGCTCGATCTCCCTGAATATGCTGCAAGCTTCGTGAATTATAAAGCGTTAAAGAAGGTCAGTCAAGCCTCCCCGCTTGCTTCGCACAATCCGATTTCCACTCTGTGTGCTGCTCCGGAAACTATATTGACTGAAGCACCTGTGATAGCTTATCAAACAATTGAGCGCTACACCCACCATCCCGGCACAGAGTGTCGCAGGTGCAGCGCAAGATGTTCCTGAGGCGCAAGCTGCCCTGCGGGCGAACAAAGAGGTGTTCTTCTTTCGACTGGTAGGGATACATACCGGAATCGGCTGTGAAGACATTCTGATTGACCGCACAATTCAGGAACGAGAGATTGAAAAAGTCAATGCCTTCTATCTACAGAAGGAAGCTGAGGTACGTTGATGCCATGTAGTAATTCTAGGTGACAATCATGGGAGACTGATGGCAGCGCCTAGTTCTCACTCCGGCTGAAAACCCTAGTCGACAAGAAACGGGTCATCCAATCGCGAGCAGTGACAAATTCCAAAGCGCCCGCAAATTATGTCTCACTATTTGAAGGATTTCAGCAATTCGACGGTGATCTCAATAAACTACAAGTGAGCTTTGAATTGGCATCGCAGCTGCACTTGATGTATTCTGACATATCGTCAATCTTTCAAAGCAATTTGTTGAGATCAATGAGACGGCAATGTCAAAGATTCTGAAGAAGGTGCGTCTTTGTACCGGAGATTGCACTCCTTTGCGATCGAATTAGCTAACAATGTGATTGTAGTGGGATAAAACTTCCAAGGTCTGAATAACCTGATCTTTCCTGTGTTTCTTTTTCTGCTGTGCCCCAGTCGTTGCATTGAGTCTTGTACTATCGTGCTTTTGCTTACACGTGCGGCATTTCTAGTCTCGCATGAAAGAACTATATCTTCACCGAGCTGTTGAAGTACAGCCATGCTTCAATAGAGACGTTTTGCGAGACCTGTCGGATCGAGCAACAACAGCACGGCTGGAGCTAGAAGCATGGGCGGAAGGCGAGAATATTCATTTTGATACCATCCGTCCAGTGGATAGGAGTGCAGTCTCGCAATCGTTCGGGCCAGATGAGGAAGATCTCGATCTACAAATTCTGCAATCTGCCAGTTCAGGAAACCTTCAGACGCTACGCGAATGGGCAGCAAAGTTACAACCATCCCCGGACGCTTCAATTCGTGCGACTCGCACCTTCCTCGCAGCCATCAATGAATTCTCTGACGAAGTGCTTGCGGTGCTCTTGGAAAGTGGCCTGGTTGACATAAATGCTGAAGATGATATCAATGAACGCAACTGCCTGCACGAAGCAGCCATTTCCGGTCGGGAATTTGTTCTCAAGGCTGGGCTAACAGCAGGGGTCGAGATTTCCAGGTGTGATGTCTACGGTAGATTGCCTCTACATTACGCCTGTATGCATGGTCGGGTGGAGATGGTGCGGGAACTGTTGAAGGCCGGACCTCATACCATTGATGTGATGGACCATGACAACTTCACGCCCTTGATTCACAGCATTGTCAAGGATCAGTTGGCCTGCGCGGAACAACTGCTTTGCAACAACGCCCGTATCGACCCAACATCTGAGTCAGACCATATCCCGCTGAATCTAGCCTGTCAGTATGGATCAATTCCAATAGTCCAAATGCTGTTGGAACGCGATGCGAGGCTGCTTCCAGATGCAGAGGGCTTGTACCCCCAACACATGGTGGCACGGGCTTCACAGTCACCGCAATTGCTCCTTCTTCTCAAACAGCACGGAGCTAACATGGACCAACGTGATAAACTGTACCAATGGACCCCTCTTTTTCATGCAGCCAGCGAGGGCTGTGTGGGATGTTTACGTACGCTTCTGGAACTGGGCGTTGATGCCGGTGCTGTGGACGAGAAAGGTCTCGCCGCAATGTACTACGCAGCGTGGGAGGGCCATCTGGAGTGCATGCTTCTACTTTGGTCCCATAGCATAACTCTGCAGTCTCCTCAAAAGCCTCTTGGTTTTCTGAACGGCTTGAAGCTGCAGGATTCGTGTCATGATCATGCCTCTGCTATGGATGATTTGACAGATGCAGATAACATTGATACAGCGGATGGCATCCCTGACCTGTCCCTCCCGCCACCAATCATACCCCTGAGACG